AAATCCCAGGGTACTGAAAAAACTGATTAATGTGAGTATTGAGTCTTTTTGAAAGATCATGGAGAAGGACTGAAGAAGAGGAAATGCTGCTCTGATTTTCCAAAGAGGGAAGAGAACAGAATCTTCAAACTATAGTCTAGTGAGATTGACTTCATTTCCTGGCAAAATTCTAGAACATTCATTAAAGGGATACTTAATAACCTAGAAAAAGAAATGGTGTTCCAAAAGAGCTAATAGGACTTCCTCAAGAACAGATCATGTACCCATCAGCTGGGGAATGGCTGAACAAGTTGTGGTACATGAATGTAATGAAATACTTTTGTCCTGTAAGAAATGATGAGCAGGCCAACTTCAGAAAAACCTGGAAAGACTTATATGAACTGACTGAAGTGAGCAGAACACTGTACACAGTAACAGTCACATTGTGTGGTGACGAAGTTTGACAGACATCTCTTCTTAGCAATGCAAAGATCTAAGACAACTCCAAGAGACTCATGATAGAAAATGCTGTCCACATCCAGAAAAAGAACTGTGGAGTCTGAATGCAGACCAAAGCATATTATTTGTGCTCTCTCTCTCTCTCTCTTTTTTTTTTTTTTGGTTTCTCACTTCTCGTGGTTTCTCCCTTGGTTCTAATTCTTCTTAACAACATGCCTAATGTGAAAATAGGTTTAATATGAACGTATATATTGAGCTTATATCAATTTACAGATGCTGTCTTGAGGTGGGGGGAGGGGAGAGATGGCGGAGAAAATTTGGAACTCAATCTTATGGAAATGAATGTTGAAAACTAAAAATAAATGTATTTAAAAAAAAGAACACATCATGACAGACTAACTTTTTTGACAGGTTTTTCAGACTGGTAGAGATCAGTGGAAATACTGTACATAAAATTTACTAGTTCAGACACTTTCAGTCATTCCCAACTCTTTGTGACCCCACTTGGGGTTATCTTTGCAAAGATACTGGAGTGATTTGCCATGTCTTTCTCCAGCTCATTTTACAGATGAGGAAACTGAAGCAAACAGGATTAAGTGACTTGCTCAGGATCACAAAGCTAGTAAGTATCTAAGGCCAGATTTGCACTCAGAAAGATGAGTCTTCCTGACTAGCATTCTATCCACTATGCCACTTTCAAAGCAGCTGACTAAACCTTTCATGCTATTCTTATGGACAAGATGGAGAAATGTGGCTTCTGATGCTAGTTTGCAAAACAGGAACTGGTTAAATGGTTGGACATAACGACTAGTCATTAATGGCTGGATATCAGCTTAAAGGTTCTCCAGTTAAGTGCCTCGACGATCAGTACTTTGCCCTGGGTTGCTCAACATTTTTATCAATGACTTCGATAAAGAATAAATGGAATATTTATCAAACTTATAGACAACATAAAACTAGGAGAAATAAGTTAACACATTGCATAGCAGTCAGAATCTGAAAAGGTTTGAACCAAGCCAGAACACTGGGCCAGATTAAGGGGATAAAACTGAATAGGAACAAATGTAAATTCTGACATTTGGGTTCAAATACTCACCTTCACAAGCATATGGGGGGGGGGGCAGACATGATTAGTCTGCAGTTCATCTAAAAAAATGGTGTGGAAAATGTTAGTAGACTCTAAGTCTAATGAGTCAACAATGTGATATAGTAGCCAAAAATGCTAACATGATCTTAGGCTTTATGAAAAGAGACTTAAAAACAACCAGAAATTACAAAGTATTAGCCCCACTTTACTCTGTTTTGTTTGTTTGTCTGTTTTGTTTTTGGCTAGGCAATGGGGTTAAGTAACTTGCCGGAAGCCACACAGATAGTGAATGTTACGTGTCTGAGGCCGCATTTGAACTCAGGTTCTCCTGACTCCAGGGCTGGTGCTCTATATACTGATCCACCTAGCTACCCCTGACCCCACTTTACTCTGGCCTGTTTAGATCATGTCTGGTATACTGAATTCCTTTCTGGATGCCATATTTTAGAGAAGACATTGAAACTGAAAGAGGACAACCAGGATTGTAAAAGGCTTGAGATCATACCATGTAAGAATCACTTAAAGAAACAGGCAGAGGGGCAGCTAGGTGGCAAAGCAGATAGAGCACCGGCCCTCAAGTCAGGAGTACCTGAGTTCAAATCCGGCCTCAGACCAAACACCTGACACATACTAGCTGCTGTGTGACCCTGGGCAAGTCACTTAATCCCAACAGCCTAAAAAAAAAGAAAGAAACAGGCAGAGTTTAACCTGGAGAAGAAAAAACAAGGAAGAGACATAACAGCTATCTTCCAAGTATTTGAAGGTCCATAACACAGACCTGTCCTTGCTTGGCTCAGAGAACAAAACTAGAAGTAATTTAAATCACAAAAAAAGGGAAAATTTAGGCTAGATAAAGGGAAAAACTCCATAACAATTAAGAGTTCTCTAAAAGGGCACTGAGCTGCCATGGGAGGTAACGAGTTCCCCCCTCTTGGTTCACACACATTAGACTAGATTGCTGGCCTCTGACGTCCCTTCCAAATCTGAGATTTGAGGCTTCTGTGATCTTGAAAAGAGAAAAGGTTCTCAGAAAGAAGTCCAGGTCTTGGAACAGAAAACTAGCCCCTAGGAGATGTGAGAGGTATGCACATCTCAAGGGAAGAAACTAATACCTGAACTAAGAAAATGGAACACATCCAGGAAAAAAAAAATTAACCCGGAAAGAGAAGCCAGGATAGGGAAGTGCTAGAAAGAGTGTTCCCTAAAAAGACAGGAAAAGTGCTTGATGTGGTAAATTAGTAGAAGTAAAGACCATTTAAAAGGCTAGAAGAGGTCCTAATTGATTAAATAGTTTAAGAGACTGGACAAAGGCTTGAAAGGAGGTGCCCAGAGAAGCAGCCAAAATGAAGAGAGAGGACTAGGTTGTAAAAGAGATATTCATTCCTTAAGAAGAAAAGACCAAGAGGTGAGCCCCGACCCTCTCCAACATCCTCAGTTTTCCTCCTCAATCCTCTGTAAAATGGACTAGAGCTATTTTTACAAATAATACTTGTGGATTTGACCAGCTGGGGAAATATGGGGAAGTACTGAGCCAAACCTTGAAAAATGGCTAAGGTATGGATAGGAAGAGAAAGTCATGGCCATTCCATGAAGGGAGGATACCATGAGCACACACTTTGACTATTTTCAGGGATTATATTTTGAGGAATGGTTTGCTGAGGGTGTCAACAAAACATACCAATTAAAAAATGTAAATAAAATAAATTGGACTAGATGATCTATAAGGTGTATTCCCACTAAAAAAAAAAGTTTTATGACAGGAAAAAAAGTGCTCCATCCTAGCCTCCCATCCATTAGAGTAGACATCACCAAACTTTTTTGATTGTACAACTCTATCAATAAAAACAGTTTAATATGCACCAACATATACATCTTTATACACTGAATTCATGTGCTACTTTATTAACATATTACCTACATTATAAATACTTAAAAGGATAAGGCAAATATGAAACAAACATTTTAAATTAATTTATCTCATCAACAATACCAAAACTCTCTATAAAATATTAGTACTAATATGTTTATGTGAACAATGTGCTTGTATATGCTTCATTGTTTTTTAAAATCTTGGCTTAACATTGAGATACAATAATTTGAACATCTGGTTCTAAGTTTGGTTTCTTTCAGTACTGGATTTCAATGGCTGGAAAAAGGTTCACATATCACCAGAACAGACAAAATATTATTTTTTAAGGTAAGTGGGTTATTGGCAGGTAAAAAGATATTGTTTTATTCTACATCTCATTAAACTCAGAAGCTTTCCTCTCTAGTCTTAAAAAAAATTACAATTCAAACAAAAAAGTCATTAGGTCCTAAAAGTGTCACTTCCCATATGAAGTCTTTCTAGATTTCCTGTCCTGAGTTGTTAATATTTCTGCCTCCAGCCTCCTCCATCCCATATTACTCCATATTTATTTTGCATGTATTTCCTATCTGCGTGTATGTGTGTTTTGTTTCCCTGCAGGGTAATTAAAGCTCCTTGACAGAAAGCATTATTCAGTTTTTTGTCTTAGTAGTTATAGCACTTGGTACACACCAGGTGTTTCATAAGTGCCTGTTGAATGGAAAGATCTGTCTTTGTAAATCCCTTTCTCTATTGCACACAGCTCTTACCTGCTTTCTTGTATTGGCAAACAAATAACAATGAACAGCAGGGAATAAAAAGTTTCCACCCTTTTTCTCATAAAAGGCATTACTATGAAAGATCACACCAATAGGGCCAAATAAGCAAAAACACATCTTAGCAAAAACACATCTTGGCCTAGGCTCTGCTGCCTACAGTTTCTACTGGCTGAATTTGACACTTTTCAGCTCACTGAGTTAATGACCATTCCACAACCTAAACAGGCCCCTATAGTTCCCACCAGGAGCAGAAAACAACTGCATTTTACGGCTATCCCAGGATTCCCTTCCACCCACCCACCCACACACACACACTCACACATACACCCCTCTTTTAACTTTCAAAGCAGGCAAAAAGTTCACCGCAGGATCAGTACAGAACTAAAAAACAAGTAGGGGCTGGGGGAGTAAAGGAGGGAGTTAGGAGCCAGAGAGACAGGGGAGAGGAGGAAGAAAAGGAGAGGAAATGGAAAAGGAGTCTTTAATGACCAGGGGAGGGTGGAATAAGGAAAAACCAGGGTGTCACACCATAGCTTATCTCCAGAACTTTCAAACAATCCTCCCAGCCCTCAAATGATCCACACCTCCTTAGCATTTTGCCATCTGTTTCCCAGTCAAACGATTTACTGTGTTTCCCCTCCCTGAGGTCACGATACAGCCCAGCCCAACCCAACCCTTGCAGAAGCATCCCAGAAGGCCCCAAGTCTCTAGGGACTTCATGGGGAAGGTGGGAATAGGAAAGGGAATGAGAAGAGAGAGAAGAATGTGGGGCCTAAGGCCCTAGGCCAGGATTGCAAACAGGACACTATCACTTTGTTATTAAGGAGGTGGGGCAATAAGGCTAACTTACCAGAATGATCCAGAGTGGCTGGCTGCCCAGTTAGGGAGACTTCTTCCTAGCAGTTCAAACTATCCCTGGCTCCTGAGCATGCTCAGTCCCCCACTCTAAGTTACTGAGGTGTTACAAAGTATTTCACAGTACTTTTAGTTTTTGCAAGGAGGAAGGTCAACATGGCATGTGACCCATCATCTGACAGACCCAGTAATGGTGCCAGTGTCAATCAGTAAACATTAGTCATGCTTAATTAATTTTTAGGTTAAAAATATAAATTAAAGTTCTAATATTTTCTTCCTGCCACCCCCATGCGTCATCCTGCATATATTCCACCTCGAACCTTGCACTACAGAACAGATCCTTAGGCCTAGCTCGGAGAAGTGCAGTAGGATCTTCAGGGAAAGAGTCACGTGATAGAGAAAGGTATTCAATGGAAGTTCTGAATGATTATTCCTGGACAGAGACGGATAATAATAGACAGTAATCCCTTTGAAGGGATAAAAGGAGGTGGAAAGGAACTGAGGTATTTTTCCTTTCGGCCCCAGACCCTTTGGCTTTCCTCCAATCATCTGCTCTATCTCTCCATAAACCTTAACCAACTTAGGACTTCAGTCAAACTGTTGCAAAACGTATGTCTCTCCTTGGCCATCATCCCGCATATATATGTAGTACATCTCCCTCATTTTTGTTAATGTTATTATTATTACTGTTTTTATGTTACCACTTGACCCAAGGCCATAAAGTCTTCATTGTACAAGAATGTATGGGGGAGGGGGGAAGAGGGCAAATGGGTGAACTGAACCAACTGAAGGACAGGCGGTTGATTAGTCAAGAATACAAACAGGTTTGTGGAATGGTTGAAATTCCAGTTTATGTAAGGGTAGAGGGACAGAGCTATCCCTACATGAGCAGATATCAGGAAAAGTGATGAAAAGAGTAGCTGGAGGACCAAAGACTTCTCCCTTCCTGGGAAGGGTACCCAGAAGGTCAGGAGGGGCTAATCCAGCTGAGGAAAGCACTATGTTTATATTTCACAGATTTAAAGGACATAGGTAATTCAGTCAAGCACAGCAACATCTATTAGAGTTATGTGTGTGTATATATATGTGTGTGTGTATAATATATACGTGTGTGTATACACACATACAGACACACATATATATAAACAAAAACACAGTACATAAAAACCTTGTTAGGACTCAAGCATATGACTCCAGTCATTGTATATAGCTACAATGCTACCCCAAGCTCTAGCTAAACTCAGATGTGAGAGGAAGGAGCCTGTTCTATTCCTCTTCGTAGAGCAAAGTGGAAAGAAATTTTTCAATGATTGGAAAGGACCTACTGAGAGAGAATTTTCGCAGACTTTACAATTCAGCCAAGATGCCACATCCTCCATGATGTTCCCAAGAGAAAATGGTCTCTCCCTCTTCATACTGATCATCAAGCTTTTCCTGGCTCTCTCCCATCCCCTTCTACCTGTCATATCTCTCACTATTACACCATAAGCTCCTTAAAAGCAACAGTTGTGTTATTTTCCAATTTTGTATCTTAAGCATCTAGCACAGTGCCTCACATATACTAGACAATAAATGCTTATTGAATGAATTAAGCATAGGCTCTTGCTTGTGCTTAAGAAAATACAGGAAATAACAGGACCTTACTGGCAAATGCCTGTAGTCCCTGATGCTAGGAAGTAGGAAGGCCAAGGCTGATGATCCCTTGAGTTCAGAAGTTCTGAGCAGCTAAAGGGCTAAAGCCAACTGAGTGCACTAAGTCTGGTACCAATATAGTGAATACCCTGGTGAGTGGGAAGGCTAACAGCCTGCCTCAGGAGAGGTGAACCTGTCCAGGTTAGGGGAAATTGGGCACATTAAAGATTCTATGCCACTTAATATTAGAATCAATCTCACAAGTGGGTGCTGCACTTCCAGCATGAGTGAGATAGGGAGACCCAGTCTTAATATATGGTGACTAGGTGGATTTGTTCCCTCTTCATTAATTAAGGGAAGACAGAGTCATACAAGGGTGAGGCCCTAGGTTCAAATTCTGCCTCTATTGCTTATTCCCTATGTGACCTTAAATAAATCACTTAACTTGCCTAAGCCTTAGTTTCCTTATCTGTAAAATGGGGAGGAGAGAAGTTGGACTAGATATCCTCTGAGTTCCCTTCTAGCCCTAAACCACTGATTCTATAAAAGAGAAAAAGAAAGAAGAAAGCATAAAACAGAGAGCCAGAGGGATAGGCAGGTTATCCCAGGCAACCGGGGAAAATAACATTTTTGGCTAGGAGAAAAGCTGGAAGGTCTGTGATGGCAAACAAGCATGCCTTAACAAGAACTGAGGCTCAACTACCTGATGGGAATTTTGATACAAAGCTAAATATATTAATTATAGGATCTCCTCTCCTCCCTTTCTTCCTCCTCCTCCTCCTTCGAACCTAGGAAAACCTAAGTTTAAGAAAGCAATGAAAGGTTAAAGCTCTGGGGTCAAAGGCAAGGTTTCTTAGTCTCATTCCAGGAGAAAAGGCTTCCTGACGTCCCATGAAGGTGACTGGTTTGGTATGGTGTAAGGATCAAGGGCCCATGTAGCTGACAACAGGATGCCAGCTGCTAAAAAAAAATGAGCAGTCAACTTAGAAGGTTTTGATTTTGGATTTAGGTTTTTTTAAAATATATCCTGTGGTTTGTACATGTTTGAGATATCCTACCACCCATCTACTGGAAGTACACCTAAATTACAGAGGGCAAATTTTTTGTGCAAACAATAAACACTTTCGTATAAAGGTTCATAACCCCCAACATAGGCATACCCCAAAGAATAGAAAAGGAATCACAAGGTCTTATAAAGGATGAAGCTGTTGACTATATGTATTTGTTACAATGGTTTTGTTCTTCTTTTGTTTTTTCAATAGGGGGAGGAAGTGGGAGGGAAAGAAAATAGATTTTTGTTCATTGAAAAATAAAAAATTTTAAAGGACGAAGTTCTTACCGATTTTATGACACACTCTATCCAGCTCTTTGATGTAATTCTGTGCCTGAGACCTCAAATACCCTACAGTACAGCCCAACATAAAGCCCAACACACAACCCTTTCCCCAAGGACACACAGGGGAACACAAACAGACAAATCCTGGCAAAGCCAATTAGGTAATTAGATTTTCTCAAACATCACTGTGCTGTCCTAAAAAGCTATCACCTGTTTCTCTTGCTATCCTTCTTTCCAAAACACACTGCTAGACCACCATACTATAGTGGGCCAACCTCAACACCAATCCAGAGGCCTGGCATCTCCCTGCTTATATTTGTTGCCTTTAGGCAGCCACAGAGGGGAAAGACTCTGGTGCCCTTCTTGGAGTTATTGGCAACACTTTCCTGCCTCACACAGTAACTGTTCTGACTCCCTGACTGCAAACATTTTGGAAATGGAGCTATGTGATAACAACTTTATGATACTGCTTAATACACTTCTGTCAATTCACCTCAGTCTTTACCAAGTCACAAATGGGATATGGGATTTAATCCTGTAAATTAAAATCATACAAGACACAACTCTACAGCAATTTCTGTTAGGTAATCTGATGAACACCGCCATCAAGTGAGGTATTTTGTTCAACAGAAGTGTTTACCAGTATCATGGAAGATATAGTCCCTTCAGTCAATCAATTAATCAATCAATCATTCAACACTGGACACCTGCTAAGTGCCAGGCACTGGCAACTTTCTCCAAATACTTCTACTCACAGATGACATTCTGTTAATTTCATTAAGCTCTGGGAACCCTACAAAGGTACCTCATTTAAATCCTCAGAAATGCACGTTTAACCATCAACACTGGAAAAACAAAGTTGATGTCTTGGGAGAGGATATCATATAGCGAAAAGGGCACTGAACTTAACCTTGGCCCTACCACTTGCTACCTGTGTGACTTTGGTCAAGTTATTCAACATCTCTGGGTCTGGCTTTCCTCATCTGTAAAAACGTGGTGAATTCTAAAGTTTCTCAAGATTTATGATCTTATGACTCAAAATTCATGTCGGCCAGATTATGACATTCAGCTAGATGTAAAATTTATCAAATTATTCCATTAAAAATATGTCTTAGACATTGAAGATAGACAATTAACTGAATCTCAAAAGGTTTAGTAGAAGGTTAGACAGGATTGCATTGGGAAAATGCACTACTCATTTTTGCAAAGGCCTGTCTCTTTAACACCAGTAATCTTTCCCATGATGTTGGTTGCCTACCATAAAAGACATAATCTTAGAAGAATTACAATTATAGGCAACCCAAAGTACACACAGTGTGCAAAGACATACAGTGAGCCTCAATAGGCTGCAGGAAATTACCAACAATTCAGGCAAAACAGGCATGTAAGAACATTATTATGGATATATATGATCATAAAGAAAGGCAGCATGGCATAGAAGGATGGCAAACCTGCATTCAGATCCTACCTCTGATACAATGCTGGCTGTGTGATCCTAGGTAAGTCCTGTAACTTCTTAGGACGTTTCTATGTCTAAGACAATAAGGTGCAAAGAAGGTGCTGGCCTACATTGGTAAAGGGAGGTCCAGTCCTTACCCCTATCCTTGATGACCATAAAAGGTAAGATTTCATTCATATGATGAGAATGGGAGAAAACAAGCGAACAGTTTGAAAGGTACTTTTTAAAAAAATCTTAATATATTCTACTTACCAAAATGAATGACATTGAGAAATATAACTTATTAGATAGAGGCCTTTCCTACTCCCTTTCTCTCTCCCCTCCCCCAACACCCACTTTTCTCTCCTCCTCCCCCGACATCCACCCAGTGCCTTTCTTCTGAAATTACTTTTCATTCACTGAGTGTATGTTGTATATGCATAGTTGTCTGCGTGTTATCTCTCCCATTAGACCGCAAACTCTTTGAGGGCAGGGACTGTGTTTTTGCCTGCCTTTATCATTCAGCATAGTGCTTGGCACACAGTAAGGGCTAAACAGATGCTTGTGGACAAACTGACAAGAGGAAACTGATAACAATGTTGGCAAAAGCATTTGAACTGCACCAGATAAAAAAAGTGTCGGAGGTCTGCAATCTGCATTAGTGGAAGCAGTATCAGCACGGAGCTCCCAAAATATCCAAGTATCCCTTGGCATTCCCTGCAGTTCCTCTGACCATTCTTGTCACTTTCAATAACATCAGTAACATTAATCACAGATTAAAGCTTCTTAGAATCTTCCTCCATCAGTACCCATATTTCACAACACAGAGATCTTTGGGGGCAGCTAGGTGGCACAGTGGATAGAGCACTGGCTCTGAAGTCAGGAGGACCTGAGTTCAAATCCAGCCTCAGACCAAACACTTGACACTTACCAGCTGTGTGACCCTGGGCACTTAACCCCAATTGCCTAAAAAAAAGAAAAAAGACACTCCAACACAGATCTTTGAACAGGAGCAGTTCTCTGATTTAGAGGAGAGTCAAACTCCAAAGATGGAACAGATGTGTTTTTAGAATATGGATATCATGTAATGACCCTGCACTTCAATGCACTATAAATTAGGAAAACTCACTGGAGCTGCAATATGCAAGTGAACTACACTGCAAATAACTGAATGCATATGCAGGGCTTAGCTCAGGCATTTAAGAAGAAAGAATAATTATTGCTAACTGTATTTTTTAAGATCTGATGCAACAACACAATTGCCCTCCAGTAAAAACTGGTTAAAGGCAGAGGATGAAACTAACCTTTCAAATTCTGGGAAGGGTCCAGCTGCAACTATATGTAAGAGGAAGTATCCCGCTTGAATTTTTCTAGATGCACCACCAGTGTACTGACCAATGGGAAGAAAACTGGCAGGACTGTGAAGGGGAACTCTTAGGAGAAGTGGGTACAACAGTAGTGTGTCTGTTTTCACTCCCAGCTTAGTTCACAGCTCAGAGTTGAGGGTCAGTTTGTTTGAAGGGTATGTCTGTGATAGCATGGCTATTTCAATATAGATGAAGCTACTTTTCTACTTATTAACTGAACAAACATTTACTAGGCCATGAAGTAAATACAAAATAGAGACATGGCCCCTGCCTTTTGTAGTTTACAATCTAAAGGAAGGGTAAGACACAAGCACAGATGACTATACTAC